AAAATAAAGAAAGAAGTAAAATACTTAGGAATACTGATCTGTAAAGATGCAACAGTTTTTATCCATAGGAATATTTTTAAAAAAATGCAAAAAAAAACATTTTTATTACATGGATTTCAAGGGATATTACTGTTTTTGGAAAAAATGTTCTTAATCAAAATAAACAAAAAGAAACTTAATTTTATATAGAAGAGCAAATGTCATTATATTCAAAAAAAAAAAGAAAGAAAGAAAAAAGATACGGTTAAAAACTATGTAATGTAATCGATTTTGGTTCCATGAACAAAAATGAAAGTTAATTAGCCGAAATAATTTTATGAATGTTTAGAATCCATTTGGTTTGTGATTCCCAACTCTGTTTATTCAAAGTGTAGGTGGAAAAAATGATTTGCTCTTGAGATGTGACTTTGACTACAATAAGTTACCCATCAAATAGAGTCGGACTTTAATGAACAGGTCCTGTTCTATTGGAAACTTCTGTATAAATTCAACCTCACTCCACATAATAGATATATTCTCTTTAATACAAAGGTTATATTTTTAGAGGGCTTGTTTGCGAAGGGGATTTGATCCATTTCACATTCCATGAATGATAAAAGTTGTTTTCTTCTTCGAAGAATTTTGTTTAAAATTCTATTTAGTTTTTGATGTTAGTAATTAGCTATAACAAGTTGATAAAACAAGTAGAATATGCTCTTAAATTTGTAAGTTTGTCATTCCAAAACTTCCTCTACTCTAAGTAAACTGTAAAAACAGCGCAAAAATAAATAAATAAATAAATAAAGCTTTCTGCTACGTTGTAGGTATCCTAGTTTACGATGGTCTGTGAAGGCAGCACTAGAAGCAGTTGGTGACTGTTGCCATAGAAACGTTTATTAACAACCGGCGAGCCGTTGGTGTGCCCAACAAAAGCGGACATTTTCCTGTTGCTTTTAACTTTGCTTGGTTTATATTTACGGAAAAGAAACTTTTTTAGCGGTATTCGTAATACGTGAAATCAAAGCTTCAAAATGGAGAAGGAAGAAGGAAAAACTGNTTTAAGACTCCATTCTTGGCCTGTCCTTTCAACTACTCTTCTCAATTTCTCCCTTTCAGGTTCATATGTTTTGCAGTTCATCAATACGTAAGCATTCGTTCCAAATACTACATCCTGTTAAATGAAAAAAAAAAAAAATAAATAAAAACACAATCAGGAAAATCAAACAACTCTTACAGTTATTTGGTCAACACTCCTAACCATTTGATGGACAGAAGATAGTACTATAAAATCTGGAATTATCTCAAATAAACTTCAGTAAAACAGTTATTAAATCATTGCCTCATCCATCTCTTTTACCTGCTATTGACATGGATTTAAATTTGCTGTTTTAAAAGAAAAATAAGGAGGATATTTCAGGTTCCAGTATGGTTCAACAATATAGAGATAAAAAATATTATGGATATGTTA